GAAGGCGGCCGACAGCTTCCGAAACGTTCTTGACATACGGAAGTGCCCGCCAAGATTTGGTGTCCGTGCGGTTAGGCCTTTCGTCCCTTTCACGTATGCACCGTTCGACGAAGTTGCGCGGGTAGCAATTGGCTTTGAAGACCCGTCGGACGTATTGTAGTTTGGCAATCTTGTCTTCCGGCTCACTGCAGTGCGTTTCGACACGCCGATAGAGCGTCCTTACACAACTACGTTTGTGGCTGATTGGGTGGTTACTGTTGAAGTTGAGTACTTGCATCGTATTTGTCGCTTTCCTGAACACTTTGGTTTTTAGTTCACCACAAGCTTTGCCGCATACGAGGACATCCAGGAAGGCCAGCTGGTTGTTCTCTTCCTCCTCCATCGTAAATTGAATGTCCGGGAAGACGGCGTTGAGATGTTCTTGGAATGTCAACACCTGATCCCGTTCGATGACGACGAAGGTATCATCCACATACCGGGCCCAGAATTTCGGTCTGTGGTGTTGGAAGACCAGTGACTCTAACCGTTGCAGGACCGCCTCGGCGATGAATCGCGAAATCGACGAACCCATTGGTGTGCCCTTCACCTGTTCGTATATTGTTACGTCGAACGTGAAGTATGTCCTGAGACAGAGCTTCAGGAGCTGAAGAACTTGGGCGTGTCCAAGACGATTTTCCGTTTCATCGTCTTTGCTTTGTGGTAGCAGCTCAATTGTCTCGATCGCCAGGTCCTGGGGAATAGAATTAAAAAGGGATGTAACATCAAAAGATACCATGACCTCATTTGGATGGATGCTTACCCCTTTGAGTTTCTCCAGGAATTGTGCTGACGAAGAGACAGTGGTGTATGACTCAGCGGTCAGGAACTTGAGACGCCGGAACGGCCACTTAGCCATTCCGTACGTTGGCGTCCCTTTGAGCGACACGATGGGTCGGAGATTCGCGCCGACTTTGTGCACCTTAGGGAGGCCATGGAATCGGGCCAAAGCCGTATCTTGAGGTCTCGCCATGCGTCTGTCAGTCGGTGTTATTGCACCTGAGTTTTCCAAGGCCAACAACGTAGCATTAATTTCGCGTGTCAGCGCCTTTAAAGGGTTCGTTGCACATGGGACATAGAACTGTAGGTCCTCCAGTAAACCTTTGGCTTTTTGAAGGTAGTCTGTCCTGTCCAGTACAACCGTGGCGCGTCCTTTGTCTGCTGGCACGATGACCGGGTCTTTGTCGGTCTTGAGTTCTCTAAGCGCATCACATTCGACCTTGGAAAGCACTTCCCGCGGCCTGTGGGCCATCAGGATAGAAGACACTTGGTGTCGGATGAGGCTCTTAGTCTCCTCCGTTGCTTCCGTCTGACAAAGAATTGATTCCGCTGCTGCAATCATATTAATAGTTTTGGCGTCAGCCGTCTTAAATGAAGCTTCGTGCCGTAAAACCTGCCTCTGATCCTTCGGCAGCTCCTTTGATGACAGGTTGTGCACCCGTTTGTCGTTTCTGGGCGACGTTGGATTGGGCAGCTTTCGAAATTTGTCCTCCAGTGCTGCGTCGCGTGTCGTGCTCTGTTCGCGGGCTTGTTCAGCTATCCTCCGCAGGAGCAGATTCGTACCGATTTCACCCATGAACTCACAGCATCTGGTCTTTTCTTGGTCAATCCTTTGACGGTACTTACGAAGTCTCGCGTGACAATCTTGGAGGAGCACTCGAATCATCCTTCTGCTGTGCTGAAATACTGCTCGTCTCGCCAAATCCGTGTTAACCGGTGGCTTGTATGAAACACATTTCGGTAACACATTATTGTCGAGACACCTGCGCAGAAACCGGATCTGCGAATACGTAGAGGCCTCCCGAAGAGCGAAGGTTTCCCATCGCCGGGCCGATCGGAACGCATCGCGTCCAAATACATTGCCAACAGAAGCGAAGACACGAGTCCCAGGAGGTAGTCTTGAACTGGACAAGATTTCCAAACTACAATACGTCCGACGGGTCTTCAAAGCCAATTGCTACCCGCGCAACTTCGTCGAACGGTGCATACGTGAAAGGGACGAAAGGCCTAACCGCACGGACACCAAATCTTGGCGGGCACTTCCGTATGTCAAGAACGTTTCGGAAGCTGTCGGCCGCCTTCTCGCCAAGTGGCACACAGACCGTAGGCAACCATCAGGCGTCTGATCATGAAACCGAAAAACCCACTGCCACGGCTAGAAACGTCTGGAGTCGTTTATCGGATCTGGTGCAGCTGCGGACAAAGCAACTACGTCGGAGAAATCGGAAGACAGCTCCGAACGAGAATGGCCGAACACGCGGCAACGGTGCGCAGAAATGACGCCAGCTCTCAAGTTGCGGCTCATTCGACAAAATCCGGCCACACATTTAAATTCGATGAGGCCGAAATTCTCGCAAGAGGTGACAACCGCGTG